GATCATAATCCATCAATAATCAATAATCTACCATCTGAGAGAAATGCCACAAGCTACTTAGGGAATGTGAGACTGGTGGGAAGTCAGCACCAAGAAAAGCTGAGAGAATAATTTTAGCCTCAGTCTAAGATGGGATCCTCCTGGCTCAGTTTCCCCATTATGTTCCTTTGAAAAGGAATGTTACCCACCTGGCTATTCCTGAGTCTGGCTATGAGGTGGATGTGATACTGCATGGTTGGAAAACTGAATTATCTGAATCCAAACAAAGCTAAGGATGTTTTACCCTGTCACATCTGGGCCCTGCAGTCTTTTCTGTTAGATTTGTGTCTTCCAGACTACAGCCCATTCACCTACAGTTGGTAGCAAACTGTGGGCACCAGCCAATGTCCCCACATCGTTCCCTGGATGCAGCCTGTGATTGGTTCCAGTCAACCTCCTCTTTGGGACCCCCTCGAGGCAGGGACAGCTCTATGCCCCTTGCCAGCAGGAAGCAATTTCAGAAGCCAAGACCTTTGCCCCTTACCCCCAAAAACTTTGGGTCTCATTTGTCTGAGGGGGCAATGATGAGGATGGGCTCTGGACCCCAAAAAGGAAAAACCCTGGACTTTCCCATATGGCCAAATCTCTGGCATTTGCCTGAGGCTATAATCCTATCAACTGGCCTTTCATTATCGCCTATACCCAATCTCCCAATTCTGTTACCTAGCCCTCCACTATCTACAACCTCCAGGTGTCCCAGCCACTTCCCACCCTTAATCCTAGCGAGGCTCCATTCTCCCTTGGCCACATGGTCCAGGTCCGAGGCCTTCTGTTCCCCTCAGCTTACCAGCCACTCCCATCCAGATCTTCCTGAGACTCCTCCTCCAGTCACCCCAAATCTTGTCTCCATTAAAGTACTCAGATCCTTAAAATCTAGCCACTGCTCTGATTCTTATAATCTAGCCAATAGCTCACTAACGTTCAGATTCCTTAAGAGTCGAGCCTATATGGCTAATATTCTAATAAACCTTGTCTTTGGTTGAAAAAAAAAAAAAACATGACAAGTCAAAAAAATCTGAACACCATCATGCAAAAAATAATACAAGACTACCCATGGCTTCTGAATATAGAAAACAAATGAATATACAAATCATCTACAAAGGAAAAAAATCCTAACTTGCAAACTCCAAGACAGTGACTAAATATAACAATTCTACTGAAAAACAACAAGTTCTCCAAGTGACCAGGAGAAAAGCCTTCAAAAATAAATCTGAATAATACAAGCTTATTCTGCACCCACCACATATTCTAGGAGAGAATGGAATGTGTTCCTAAAAGCAAAGGAGCTTAAAATAAAACCCAAGGTGCTTTACTTTGCAAATCTAAGTCTCATCATTAATGGGGGTAAAAAAGACATTCAATAAAAAGGAGGCATTCAAAACATTCCTAGAAAGAAAAGCAGACCTAAAGAAATTGTTTTCTTCTCAAACAACCCAGACAACAAATATAAGAAGGGTAAACAGATACAGCAACCAAATAACAATAGTGAGACCACTAAGAAATCTCTTTCTAAATACACATGAGGTGACAAGGCTGTGTAAAAACAGAAGTGATGGCTGAGAAACAAGCCTGAAATATCATGGACTAAAGCTCACCTACAGGTGAATGAAGGTTTTCTGCAGAACTAAATTACCAAATGGAAAGGCACATAAAAGGGAGGAGAGAAGAAAGAAGACAGAAGGGAATAAATGATGTATCCTAACCAAGTTAAAGGTTACCAGTGAAGGAAAAATTAATTCCTGCAGTCTCTCAGGAAACAGAAAACCTACAGGAGATTTGAGAAAGATGCAAAGGGAAGGATCGAAAGGGGGAAAGAAAGAGGAAAATCTTAATTCAGAGGTGGGAGGGGTACCACTGAGGAGAGCTCCCAAGGGAGAAGAGTGATATTCTATAAAGGATATGAGGATGTTACAATCTGCAAGTATTTGGTGCTCAGAGAAGCCACTCAGGAAAAAGGAAACCAGAACAACTGGGGTTAAATGACACCCAAAAGAAGTGGAGGAAGACTGCCTATTACTTCCCAAATTATAACCTTACAACTTGAGAAATAGCACAAATGGACAAGTTGTGGGTCAGAGTCAAAATGGCAGAGTGAAAGGTCAACAATTTCATTTCAGCTTCTCCAAAACTTCTTCCACAATGATATCTTAGTGGAAAAGCCAACAAACAATCACAATGGGTCATTTTTCCAACCTCGGGGAGTTTAGGAAGATAGAGAGAACACAGGGTCGGGGGCTGTCCAGGAACACAGCAGATGAAGCAGTAGCAGAGGCAAGGAGCAGCCCAGCAGCCAGGGTCGGTAAGGAGACTGAACACGTGGACAGAAAGAAATCTTAGGGGACCTTTGTACTAGCACTGGGAGCAAGAACAGGTCCCATCTGGCAGTTCTGCCTCCCAGGTTACAGTTCCAAGGCAGACAGAAATGGTTGCGGTCACAAGGAAGCAGGGACCATACCTTGATAAAAACCAGAGTACAGACCAGAAGGGCAATGACCAGATTTCTCCCTAGATTTAATCACTTGGGAAGCACCACATATTTACAGGTCCCCAGACTGAACTGTGAAAGCAGCACAAGGAAATCCCCCCGGAGGAATGATTACAGCCCAACATTATCATAAAGTGCAAAGTCAAGAAACAGGCTAGAAGAAGGAACAAACAAAATAAGAACCCAGCCACAATGAGCTACTATGGTGATAGGGAAGTTCAAGACAAACACTCAAGAAAGCTCAAGAGAAAAACAACGACTTGAAAAAAACATACAAGCAACACCTCAAAGAAAAATACAGTGGACATAAACCCAACAAGAATTCTTAGAAGAGCTAAAGAAAGAATTTTTTTAAAAAAAGCAAAAGGGTTATTTTAAAAATAAGAGCTATAGAGGAAAAACTGGGGCAGGGAAGGAATGAGAGATTTGCAAGAAAATTATAAAAAAAGAATTAAGAGCTTGGTAAAAGAACTGAAGAAAAAGAACTCCTTAAAAATGAGAATTGGTCAAATGGAAACTAATGACTCCATGAGACATCAAGAAACAATAAAAAAGGGGCAGCTAGGTGGCGCAGTGGATAGAGTACCGGCCCTGAAGTCGGGAGGACCTAAATTCTAATCCGGCCTCAGACCAAACACTTGACACTTACTAGCTGTGTGACCCTGGGCAAATCACTTAACCCCAATTGCCTAAGCAAAAAAAACAAAAATAAAAATACAAAAAATCAAAAAAATCAAAAGTCTGAAAACAGAAGAAAATGTGAAATATCTCCTAGGAAAAAAAACTGACCTGGAAAATAGATAAAGAAGAGATAATTTAAGAATTATTGGATTACTTGAAAGCTATGAATAAAAAATTAGCCTAGACATTGTATTTCAAGAAATTATAAAGGAAAATTGCCCAGATATCTTAGAACCAGAGGGCAAACTGAAAGAATCCACTAGTCACTTCCTGAAAGAAATCATAAACTGTAAACTCCCAGGAATATTTAAAACAAAATACAGAGCTCCTAGGTCAAGGAAAAACTATTATAAACAGCAAAAAAGAATGAAATACTATAGAGCCACAGTCAGGATCACACAAGATTTAGTAGCTACCAGTACAAAGTAGTGGAGGGTCTGGAATGTGATATTCCAGAAGGTAAAGGAGCTAGGATTACAACCAAAAATAACCTACCCAGAAAAACTGAGTTAATCCTACAGGGGGGGAAATGCATACTTAATGAAATAAAGGACCTTCAAGCAGTCCTGATGAAAATACCAGAGATGAACAGAAAATATGACATTCAAACACAAGACTCAATGGAAGTATAAAAAAGTAAACATGAGTGAGAAATCATAAGGGTCTAAACAAGTTAAACTGCTTACTTTTCTATGTGGGAAAATAATTCACGTACTACCCATGAACTTTATCATCACTAGAGCAGTTAGAGGGGGTATACTTAGACAGAGTGCATGGGTGTGAGTCTATTAGGCTGAGATGATCTCAAAAGCAGAATGGAAGGGTAGAAAAGAGGCATGCCACAGGAGAAGGGGGAAGGGAGGGGAAGAATCGCAACAATCATCTCACATAAATAAGGTGTACAAGGAAGAGTATTTTACACAATGGAGGGAGTGAGCGGGGAGTGAGCGACACCTGAACTTCACTCTCATGTGAACTGGTTCAAGGAAGGAAGAATACACATACAAATTTAGTGTGGTTCATCTTACATAAAAGGGAAGTGGGGGGAAAGGAACTAAGAGAAAGTGGTGACAGGAGAGGGGGTTGTTGTTCAGTCACATCTGACTCTCTGTGACTCCACTTGGGGTTTTCTTGGCAAAGATACTGGGGTGGTTTGCCATTTCCTTCTCCAGCTCATTTTACAGATGAGGAAACTGAGGCAAACAGAGTTTGCTGAGTGACTTGCCCAGGGTCACACAGCTAGCAAATAACTGAGGCCAGATTTGAACTCAGGTATTCCTGACTCCAGGCCCAGCACTCTATCCACTGTGCCACGTAGCTGCCCTAAAGGGTGTGAGGGAGGAGATAAAAAGAAGGGTAGAGTAAGGGAAGCAGTGATTAAAAGCAAAACAGACTCCTGAGGAAGGGACAGGGTTAAAAAGAAAGAGAAAAATAAATAGAAGAGAATAAAATGGAGGGAAATATATAGTTAGCAACTATAATGGTGAATGTGAATAGGATGAACTCTCCCATAAAGCAGAAGAGGATAGAAGAATGGATTAGAAACAATAATCTATCAATGTTGCTTACAAAAAACACACTTGAAACACAAAGATACAACAGAGTTAAAAATAAGGTCCTAGAGCAGAATCTTATGCTTCTGTTGAAGTTTAAAAAAAAAAGGCAGATATAGGAATCATGATATCAGAGAAAGCAAAAGCGAAAGCAGACCTAATTAAGAGATAATCAGGGAAACCACATTTTGCTAAAAGGTAGCACAGACAATGAATTAATATCAATTCTGGGCTTTGTTGTCATGACCAGGGTGCTGAAGAAGACCACAGGTCTCACTGGACTAGAAGTATGTGAGACCCCACAGGAGGAGCGAAGATTATTTTATTCAAAGATTCTTGATGCTCTTGAGTTTATGCCCTCAAACGCAGCATATAAAAAGTACACAGAACAGATTACAAAGGCTGAACGTGGTAAAAGAGGAAACAGATCTTCAGAAACTAGAGGATAAGCTTCAGGTTGGCCAGCTAGAAGAGGATGAAAATAAATTATTACTGGCAAGAAAAATGTTGACATGGAAACCCTGGGAGCCTTTAGTGGAAGAACCTTGAGCCAACCAGTGGAAATGGCCATTATAATCAATGTTAAATATCTATGACGTACAATTTTTTAAAATCATTAAACATCTGTTTAATACTATTAAAACATTTTTTAATTATTGGAACTTTATTAACAGGAAAACTGAAACAAGGAAATTAGGGACAAAAAAATTAGTGAAAGATTAATATATGATAGGGATGGACCACAGTCGTTTTAATCTGAAAAGCATTTATTCATTAAACAGATTATTTTAAAATCTCTTAAAGAAAGTGATTGCACTGTAATTTGGAAAATCTAATCAGAAACTTTTTTTTAAAATCTTCAATCCAAGAACAAAGAAAGCAACAGAGACTAATAATCTAAGGCATGAGAAACAATCAGATATTGAAGTACAGTCTGGATAGGGTTTATGGAAGACTTCCTTTAGTATTTTTCAACATTTAGTTTAAAAGATGGTGCTGAGTTATGTTAATTTCTAGGAAAGAACAATCAGTAATTTCATTAAACATAGTGACAAAAATTTGTGGGATGTTGCCAAAGCAGTACTTAGGGGAAATTTTATATCTCTAAATGCTTGAATTTTAATTGAACACTTTTAAAATGCTGAACTGTTGTATGGAAAGCACTTGATTAGCCAAGATTCTAAAATTTATTAATTAATTGCATGTTTTTATATAATTGCAAGCATTTTTCCACATTCTGAAAGCAGAGATTTTCAAATTGAGGTTGACCTGCTTGGTTTTGAGTGTATGGATTTAATGAATAAAAATCTAAATTTAATATGTGCAGTTTGGTTCTCATGTATATTAAACAGAAATGTTTACTGAAAAAAAATATCAATTCTGAACATATATGCAACAAATGGCATAACATCCAAATCCTTGAAGGAAATGTTAAATGAGTTATAGAAGGAAAGAGACAGTAAAACTATAATAATAGTTATAACTACTAAGAAAACTAGAAAAGCAATTTTTAAAAAAACCAATTAGACAAGTTAGGCTCAGAATTAAACAAAAGGAAAGTAGGCTGAACTGCCTTCGGGAAATATCAAATAACCTTTGATGACCTCAAACTTCTCCCAGAAATAAAGGCCAGGCTTTTAAATATCAATGTTCTACCACGGTTGCTGAACGGCTATAAGAGAAAGAACACCACTATTCATGTGGAAATGAGTATTATACAGGACAATGAAGAAGTACATGGTCATTTGAGCAGGCTGCTATATATAAGTAATAAGGGACTTTGAAGAACAGTAGTCATCACAGAAATGTGTAATAGGAAGAGATGATGGGATGATGTTTAGTGGTGAGACTGAAGGCAGAAAAGCTTAAGTGCTCCAATGGCTTTCAGAAAAATACTTAAGTACTCCACTGGTATTAAGAAAGGCTGAAGAGGACAGCTAGGTGGCGCAGCGGTTATAGCACCGGTCCTGGAGCGAGGAGGATCACAGTTCAAATCCAGCTTCAGACACTTGACACTTAACTAGCTATGTGATGCTGGGCAAGTCACTTAACCCTGATGGCCTCACACACACACAAAAGAGAAAGCCTCAAGAACATAATGGGGAGGGGCAGGCATGGACAGGTTGCAATCTGCATTTTTGCAGAAAACAGCCAGATTAATGAGATCTTAAATACATTTTGGTATTTGAGTATTATATAGACTCATATTGAGCTTGCATTACAACAAAACCCCAAAACCTTTTTCATATAAACTGCTATCTAACCATGCCTCTCCCATCCAATACTAGCTGATTCTTAAAATTCAAGTTTAGGATCACATTTATCACTATTAAAGTTCATCCATTAAACACAGCCCAATGTTCTAGCCCATCAAGATCTTTTTAGAGACTGGCTTAATCATCTCATGTGTCATCTGCAAATTAGAAAAACATGCCATCTATCCAATTAGCTGATAAAAATATTAAATACCATAGGACAAAGTTTTATCTGTGAGGCATTCCACTGGAAAACTGCTTACAAGTTGACATGAAAACTTTACTGACTGCGCTTTGGGTGCAGCTACTAAACAACTCTGAATTCATCTAATTGCATTATCATCTAGTACATATTTCTCCATCGTGTCTACCAGAATATCAAGAAAAACTCTGTCAAACTTTGCTAAAATCTAAATAAAGCTCTACCTCATTACAGGGACCTACCAGTTTAGGGGTTCTGTGGTTTTTACCAGACCCGTGACTTCATTGGCATAAGGAGCTCCCAAGGATGAATTTCCTCTACCAGTGCAGATCAGTACCTCAACGAGGCCGCGGCTCTTTGTAATTATTGTCTTCCTTTTCGAGATGTTCACTAACCGGCTCTTTATTAATCTGTTCTAAAATCTCGCCAGAAACCAGTCAAGCTCGCAGTCCATAGTTTGCACAGTCTGCTCTTCTCCCTTTTCTGAAAAGTAGGACATTTGCCTTTCTCCAGTCCTGCACTGTCTCCCCGATTCTCCATGATCTTTCACATATCACTGACGTTGATTTAGCAATTGTATTTGCCCGTTCACTTGGTACTCAAAGATACACAGATATAGACATGTGGATATAGATTAAAAATACACACACTCTCAGAGATCTGAGCCAGGCGACTAGCATTCATAAAGGCAAGTGCCTGCTCTCTCTGTGTCTCTGCATTCACTTTTGAGACCAACTCCCTATTAATCATTTTTGGGATGCTCTTCACAATCCCTTCCAATCCATGGGTCCCTTGCCTTTGCAGGGAGGACAGAAACAAAGTAAGAATTTAGCACATCTACCCTGCTGTCAGTTACCACTGTCCCATACACACACAGAGTTCCATGCCTTCTTCAATCTGCCCTTCCCCCGACAGAGATTTTTAAAAATCTTTTTAAACCTTCTGTCCTTGGCTTTCCTTGCTCACCTAAATTCATTCCGAGGTTTGGCTTTCCAGTCACTGTTTCGACTGTATGTGTATGTACATGTTGTTCATTTTAAAAGATTTTTATTTATTTACATCTTTTGTTTTTACATCACCTTTACTTCCAAATATCTCTCTCCCGTACTCCCAAAGCCAGCCCTGGAAACAAAAAGTGAAAAAAGCAATTTCAGCAAAACTACTCAACACATCAAGGTAGTGCATTGAAGATTTCCCACCTCCAAGAAGAAGGAAGAGAGGAAGAGGTACATTTTCTTCCCCCTTCCCTGGGGCTGAATTACAGCGTTCAGTTAGAGGTTTTTGTTCTTTGCATTTACATGGTTTTAATCATTAGGTGTATTGTTTTCTTGGTTCTCCTTACTTCACTTTGCATCAATCAGTTCGAAGAAATTTTCCCATGCTTCTCTGAATTCTTCACATTAATTTTCTTATGACAAAGTAAGATATTCCATTACATTCACATATCACAATTTGTTTTAACCATTCCCGATCAACTAACATATACTTTATTTATAGTTTTTTGCTATTACAAAAAAAATTGCTATAAATATTCTAAAATATTATTATATGTATACTGGACCTTTCCTTCCATCTTGGACCTCCTTAAAACAGATGTTTAGCAGTAGGGTCTCTGGTAGGGTCAAAAGGTATGGGCATGCCAGTCATTTTCATAGCATAATTCCAAACTGCTTTTCAAAATGGCGGAACCAATTCACAGTCCCACCAACAGTCTGTAAGTGTGCCTGTCCCACAACCCCTTCAACATTAACACCCTCATCTTCTGACATTCTTCTTGAAAGAAGATAGCATGTATTTGAATTCATTCTCCATTTTTTTTTCTTGCTTCCAAATTTTGTTCCCTTTTTTTTTCAATGCAAGTTGGTTGCTGAGTTCTCTGTATGTCATCAGTCTCTTCAGATAAATCTCATTTTTCCTCACCAGAACTGTTTCCTTTGTGTCTGCATATCTGGTGGTTATGAAGAATTCAACAAACATTTATTAAATGCTTACCATGTGCAAGATAATAATAATGATAATGTTAATAGTGACAAAGGCAATTATAACAACTAGCATTTATATAGCGCTTTAACATTGGTAAAGTACTTTACAAACATTATCTCATTTTAACCTCACAACAATCCTGGAAGTAAGGTGCTGTTATTATTGTCCCTTTATGACCGTTGAGCAAAACTGAGGCTCAGGGTGGTTTGCCCAGGATTACACAGCTAGTAAGTATCTGAGGTAAGATTTGAACTCAGATCTTCCTGCCTCCAGGTTGAGTGCCATAGTCCCTGCACCACCTAGCTGTTTCTATGTATTATACAAAGATGAAAAATAAGAGTTTCTGTCCTTGTAAGACTTACAATCTAATGAGAGAAGAATGATATGGAAAAAATTAAGCAAAACATAGCATGTGGGGTGCCACATATGGCTCACATGGAGGCAGGAATAGATACATCTCTACAGACTCCTCCCTACAACCTTCTCCAAAGGAGACTTTAATTCCTGCCAACAGGGAAAGCAGGAGATTGGGGCCAGAGGCGGGCCCCTCTGCTTTCCTCAGAGAGAGGGGGTATATCTATCTGCTCCCTTAAATACTGTCAGACTAAGGGAAGTAAGTTTAAAATTAAAGCTGAACTTCTGGTCACTATTCCTTAATAGAGAAAAGGGGGTCCCCACGCTCTATATCCTAAGCTTGACCCCTTTCCTACCAAATGCCAGTTATACAACGAACACACACAGCAGGTAGCAAAGAAACCCACTTATCCAAGTCAATAGCCCAACAGACATCTGAGAAGGTATACACAGGCAATACAGAGTGAAGGAGCTCTCCCATTGGGAGCATCCCAGATCTCACCCAAAGGAATAAGGACATGATCCAAGTTCTACCGCTTGGCTTCTTCCTAGTCTTTCTCCCCTCACATCCCAGAGGACAGGCTGGAATCCTACTATCTTCTCTCTGAGCAACAGAAGTTAGATGAACCTGAAGGGACCACAGAGACCGCATTTCTCTTCTAACTCTTCTCACTCTCACTAACTCGGATGTGAGCAGTGACTTCTACCAATGCGGGGAGCCTCCCACGCCAGCATGCTTTGGGGCTGGGGGTACGATGATAACAAGATAAAACGTGATCTATCTACACCAGGGTATCTGTGTCAGAGAAGGCTTAATGCAGAAAGTGGCATCGGAACTGGACCTTGAAGGAAGGGAGATGGGGGACAGGAGAGACAGGAGTCCATTCCACGCACGGTGGATATTACAAGCTACTACACAAAGATAGGAGATAGATTGGAATACAGAGTTACTTGGAAAAGAGTAATATTAGATGAGGCTGGACAGTTAGGTTAGAGCTCAATTATAATGGGTCGGGGGTCAGGAGTTCATATTTTATACAATAGGCACTAGATGTTTCAGAAGGAGTAAAGTGAGATAAAAATTAAGAGGGAGTGTGGTGTAGTGGATCGAATGCTGGACTTAGATTCAGGAGACATGGGCTCAAAACCTGCCTCAGATACTTACTAGCTTTATGAACACAGACAAGTTATTTAATGTTTCAGAGGCCAGGTTTCCTCATGTATAAATTAAGGATGATAATGATAGTAAGATTTGCCCTATATTCCTCAAAGAGTACTGAGGAAAGCACTTTGAAAACCTTCAACTGGCATTGAAACGTGAATTATTTCACACTCTGAATTATTTCACATTTCACATTTCAAAATTATTAAATTAAAAAAAAAAAAAAGAAACACGGCATCCACCATAAATTGTCCAAAGGAGAATCTGAGAGACTCGCTTCAGTCCCATCAGTTCTACCTCCAGTTTTGGCTCTGGCCCCACTAGGAAGAGGATGAAGTTTCAGCAACTGCATCTGTTAAATGGAGAACCTCGTCCCCACACATCTCATTTTTGTGCTTCAAATATCATCACTAGTCGGTGATCCTTGGGCTCTATACACTATAGAGGAATATGGGCTATGCTCTGTCCCAACCCCACCTAAGCCCTCAGCTCAATGAAAAAAAAATTACAATACCCCAGAAAACAAACATTACATTTGCTAGTAAGCCTCTACTAAAGTCTTTCTCCAATGTCTCAATGTGGTATGAAGGCTATGCAGCTGAATACAATCCCTGGCTGGTTCTATCAGGCTGGAAAGGCTTTGAATAAAGCCTCTACATCCATTATGTGAGGACCAGCCTCCCTAAGTAATGGGAAGAGAACTTGACTTAAAAGAGAATGAACAGATACAAATCCTGGCTCTCTTACAACTTGGGTGACTATGAGCTTAACTGCTTTGGGACTCATTTTCCTCATGTGTAACAAAGGAATGAACTAAATTACCTCCAAGGTCCCTTCCATCGCTAAATAGAGAGGCCCATGATCCTAGACTGACAGATAAAGCATATAGTAAATATTCCTTTTTCTTAAGACATTATGTTCTCCAGGAGTATAAAGCAAGGCATTTCCTGCCCTCAAGAAACTTATATTCTAATGGGGAAAGACAACACACAAAAGGAGCTGAAAAGTAGGAAGGCTGGGAGGCAGAGTAGAAGGAGGTATTCATACAGGGGCAAGTTTCAGAAGGAGTCTGAGGAGTCATGGGCTGGACCAGGTTCAGAGTAAGCACAGATGGTACAGGTTCTTCCTCAAACTCAGAGAGATTCCAGGATGAGCCTGAAAACGGCCACTGGGGAGGAGGTCAGCTGAACCAGGCCTGGAGTACGCAAAGCTGACACGAGTGTTTCCTCAAATAGAGGTTCAGGAATGAACTCACCAAGCACAACAGGAAAATGTAAAGGTGGAATTGTTCATGCTCACCTGAGGATGATGAAAATAATCCACTGAAAGAAGAACAGGGCTGAGATCTACGTCCGTGGAAGGCACACCCACAATGGTCGAATCACAGACCAAGCAATCAAACAAGAACCATTTATTAAGCCATTATTCTGTGCGAGGTTTCACGCTACGCACGCTCCTGACTTTATCTCCTCATTGGCAGCATTCTCCCCTTGGAGGTGCCTCTTCCTATGACCCTCTCTTCTGATGGGCGAGTGCCTGGCCCAGACCATTTCATGAGGCAGGCACACTTCATTCCCAGCTCTACTCATCATTCTCCACACTCCTCCACCTCCCCACCAGCAACATGGCCCCTGAGCAGATATCTTCCTTGATTTTCTAATTCTCGCCATTACAATGTACAAGTCTGTGAAGATCAGCTTTTTTGCTTATATTTCTATCTCCAGTGCGTAGCACAGTGCCTGGCACTGTATGCACTTAAGAAATGTTCTATCTAGAGGGCTGATGGACTCAGGGCACAAACCAAAACACATTTTCCTTTCTTTCTTCCTCTTTTGCCTATGGACACAGTTCATTTGGGAATTTGTTTTATATGACTATACATATTTGTAATGGTCTTTGCTTTTCCAGCCTTCTCAATGAGTGAGGAAGGGGGTGGGGGAAAGAGAGAAAATTTGGAACTAAAAATAAAATTCAATCTAAAAGAAAAAAGGCAAAAAAAATGTTGCCATTAAAAATAAATCGAATGACCCTAAAAACTGTTCTATTTATCTCTCTGAATTTCAACCATACTCTCAACTTATTCCCACACTCCCAGCCTTTGCTTTAGTCGTACTAATTCTGACTTACAACCCTGTCTCCCAGCTCATCTGCCACCTGCTGCCTATTACAATGGGGATGGTAATGAATAAGAACTTTGTTTTTGGATGAAATAAACCAGATTTTGAGCTGTAGAAGGCCAAGAGGTAATAGAAGTATAATGTAATCCAAAACAGGAAGCCTGTCACCTCTTCAGCCTTTTATTTTCTGTAAGGCTCTACAGCATGCCTGACCACAGAAAAGCTAACAGTCAAGACAGACAAGTGAGTCAAGGATGGACCAACAGCAGAGTATCCAGGAATCAGTGGTCAATAAAAAGCCACCAGTAAACATGACGCATATCACATAAAGCTGAAGCAAAGCCTATCTCATATAGGAAGTCTCTTACACTATTCTTGTCACTGGAACCAATGACATTCTTCCCAGGATGACTATGGCCAGGCCTGAAGGTTCAAAGGCTATTTCATCACAGCAATTCAACGTACCTGGCAGATCCTAACACTTCTACCTCTGTCATTCCTAGTCACACCAATCCCACTGTCCTCACAATGCCTGGAAGAGAGTTGAGGCAGAACCATATCTCCAGCTATCTTGGTTTAAATGATTTTACTACTCATTCCCAGGTCAACTATCCAGAACAGTGAAGTAGGCACTAGCATCTAAGAAGAGCCGCTGATGATACTTCTAGGTCCCTTCTCACAAAGACATCATCCTAGTTAATGCTGACAAAAATCCTACTTGCCTTTTCCTACAAACTACCCCTCTGCCCTTGCTTTAAAACAGTTCCTTGCTAAGGGCATCCCTCCACACCTTTCTTACATGACTACATTCCATGAGACCCTTGTTAACCTAGGCATTCTTCACACCTACTCCAGACACTCTCAGTTCACTCTCAGGGGAATCAGAACAATCGGTGAACAAACAGTGAAAAGGGTTCACAACAGTATTCCCTGAAGGTCAAGCTTCACCCAATCAGTGTACCCTCCACTACCCAATGGGAACCACTCCTTCCCAAAAAAGATCCCATCAGCACATAACAACCTCTAAAGCTGAGACTCTTAATCCAGGATCCATGAACTCCTTGAGGTCTGTGCCTACATTATGAGGATCCATGAACTTAGATGGGGGAAAAATTACATCTTTATTTTCACTAACTTCTAACTGAAATTTAGCATTTCCTTCAATTATTTTAAAATATTATTTTGAAAAGAGGTCCGTAGGCTTCGCCAGACTACTAAAAGGATTTATGACAAAAAAAAAAAAGGCTAAGTGTCCTTCCCATAAACAACTGGTGATCAAATAACATGTTCAGAAATTTAACTTTGTTCTTCTAATTGATTCAAGTCTTCAGC